GGCTATGGCGGCGAAGGCTTGAAGGGCAAGAGCGGCGTCTACAAGCGCAGCAATCTCGGCGGCGGCCTCGACGGCGGAAAATTCAGCCAAGGCGCTTTCCTCGACGGATGGGGTCCGATCGACGCCTTCGACGGTGGATACGGTGGCAAGGGACTCGGACTCGGTGCGTTCGACTCTTTCTCCTCTCATGCGTCTGCGCTGACTTCGCTCGACTCGCCATCTGCGCTGACTTCGCTCGACTCGCAGGCTACGGCGGTGGATACGGTGGCGGATACGGCGGCAAGGGTCTCGGTGCGTTTTCCTTCCGGCCCGTACGCGCAACAACGCTGACCTCGCGCGTGCAGGTCTCGTCGGTGGTGCGTACGGCGGCAAGGGCTTTGTCGGCTCGGGCTACGGCGGCGCTGCGAAGCAGGGTGCGTCTCGCTCGCGTCTGTCTTCCCTCTTTCGATCGCTGACCCCTTCGCGCCCTCGGTCTCCGCAGGCCACGCCAACGAGTGGGCCGACGCCGACCACTACAACAACGGCGCCAACTACGCCAAGGGTGCGTCCCGCACTCCTCTGCTCTCGTCTCCCGCTCTCGCTGACTCCACTCGCACACAGCCAACCACGCCGGCGCCGAGCAGGACTTTGGCCACAACAAAGAGTACAACCACGTCGACGGCGCCTACGACCGCGCAAAGGGTAACGCCGAGGAGTACAACGCCGCGAAGGCGTACGGTGGCAAGGCGGCCCACGCCAACGCTGAGAACGCCGGCGCCGAGGCGGCGGAGCACGAAGCGAAGAACTCTGGTGCGTTCGCCTGCTCTTTCTCCCTTCCCTGCGCTGACGTCTTCTCGCTCCGCTCCCGCCAGGCTACGGCTCCGGTTCGTCCCCTCCTCGCTCGTCCGCTTGCTCGCTGACTCCGCACCTTCGCATCGCAGCCTACGGCTCGAAACTCGGCGGCTACGGCGGCGGATACGGCGGCGGATACGGCGGTGAGTCGAAGCACCTGCTTGCCCTCACTCACGCTCGAGGCTGACCTCTTCCTCCCCCTTGCGCAGGCTACGGTGCCAAGGGCCTCGGCGGATACGGCGGAGGATACGGCGGTGCGTCCTCGCTTTCCTTCCCCTCTTCCTCGTTCTCGGCTGACCTCGCTCTCGTCTCTTCGCACAGGCTACGAGGGCGTCAAGCCTGTCGGCGGCTACGGCGGTGGCTACGGCGGTGAGTCGAAGCACCTGCTATTCCTCAGTTCCGTTCGAGGCTGACCTGCTCCTCTCCCTCGCGCAGGCTACGGTGCCAAGGGCCTCGGCGGATACGGCGGAGGATACGGCGGCAAGTCCTCGCTTTCCTTCCCCTCTCCCTCGCCCGCTGCTGACCTTACTCTCGTCCCTTCGCACAGGCTACGAGGGCGTCAAGCCTGTTGGCGGATACGGCGGCGGATACGGCGGTTACGAGGGCGTCAAGGGCGGCTACTCGGGCTACTGAGCGCCTTCGTCGCCTCGTGCGTCCTCCCTTTCGCGCTTCCTCTCGCCTCCTTGCGCTGACTGCTCTCTCCATGCAGGTTCTCCGCGTTCCCCTCTCGCAAAAGCATCCTCTTCGCTCGCATTTTACCCTTTCCTTTCCCTTTCCTTTCGCATCGCCTGGCTTTCTTCCCACTCGAGTAGCTCTGCATGACTTGCAAGCGTAGCCTCGCTTTTACTCCCTCCTGCTCTGGGGAGCTAAGCAAGCATTCCCAGCGAGAGTGCCAGCGGAACCGGGCGCCAGAGATTCAGCGAGAGGAGAGGCAGGCGAAAGTCGTTCGAGAGAAGACGTTGGAAGAGAACCCGTTACAACACTCGCTACGTCACAGTACCGCTCCCTCTTCGCCCTCACAAACCCATCTCGACTTCACCCGCGACCCGCTCGCCCAACCTGACAGCCCTGTCGTCGCCCCACCTCGAGCGTACCATCGTACGACGCTTCCTCGTACTCGAGGCGACGAGTACTTGGAGTGGGCGAGCGGAGGAAGCGAGGGAGGATGTAACGAAGGACGAAGTGGAGGAGGCGAGATTGGAGGGGAGGAGGCGAGGAGGCGAGATGAGTGCCGGGCGACGTCGTCTTCCACATTCCTGCGAGTCAGAACGTCTTCCAGCGTCGCGAAAACCATCTCGCCGAGCTTTGGGAGTCACTCGGCAGGTCGCGGCGTCGAAATGGACTCCGCGAAGGTGTCGAGGAGGAGGGTGGCGAAGTCGAAAGTCGACGCCGCATGTCAGGTTGGCGCACATCGTCGTCGACTAGTGTACCTGTGCTCACGAGACGTCAAGGGTCACGTCCGGAATCATAAAAGCGAGACGAGACGACACTCACCTCGTCGACCACCGCCCTCGACCCTTTCTCCCTCATCCTGTCGCCCTGTTCTCCTCCGTCTCCTCCAGCTCCAGCTTCTCGAGTTCAATCTCGACGCGGGGCGTCTCCCGCCCGCTCGAATGGCCTCGCTCGTCCTCCTCCTCGTCCACCTTCGCAACCCGCGACTCCGCCTCCTCCTCCTCCTTTCGCTGTTTCCCCTGCGCTGACCCCTCCTTCGTGTCCTCCTCGTCGCCGTCGTCGTCGCTGACCCCGCCGGGATGGCATTCGCTCCACACCTTCGCCTCCTCCTGCTCGACCCGACCTTGGAATCAGCTCCTCCTCCTCCTCGACGAGGAGAGCCGGGCTTACCTTCCAGATCTCGCGCACACACGGTCTGCAGTTGCTGCCACAGCACTCCCACGCCTCTGGCTCCTTGGGCGGCCTCGTGCTCCTCCCCGCCGCGAGCAACTGCGCCAGCCTCGACGGTGCGAGGCGACCTCTGCGGACGAGGCGAGCGAGCGTCGGCGAGTCGTCGATGAGCTCGCGATCGACGTCGCTCAGCGTGTGCAGCGACATCTCGACGGCACTGGCGAGCTCACAGCGCCTCGTTCCGCCCGCGGCTTGAGGGGAATTCGCTGCACGTGCCGTGAATTGATGAGGAGGAGGAGCGGGTTCTCTCTCCCTCACACACTCGCTGCTGGGCTGGAAACTGCTTGTACCCTCTCTCCATGGCTCGCAGCGTCTCGAGACGAACGCTGGCTGGGCAGGCGGACCCGAGCGACGACGAACTCCCGCCTCCATCCGCATTGCTCAACACGCTCGCTACTTCCGCCAGACCTCGGGGGGGGACGCCGCCGCCGCTCGTACGGGCCACATCAACGCTGCCACGACGCAGTCCACGGCTGTCAGGCGTGAAGGAGGCCGGGTTGACGGGTTTGCGACGAGGCGAGGTGGTCGGGCCTACCGTGGAGGAACCGCTCGCGCGGCGATCGCCTCGTACGCCTAGGCAGCAGATTGCACAGATTGCGGACTCGCCTACGTCCGCAGAGCAGCATCGCCTACTCGCCGAAGAGCTCTTCCCGCCTTCGCCTCCCGCCAACGTGATTTCGTCTGCCGCCATGTCGCCCGATGTCATCGAGGATTCGGATGAGGAGAGGGGTACGAAGCAGACAGCGATGTCGAGCACGAAGACGGGTCGAACGGCGAGCTATGAGAACGAGGAAGGCGACTTGCTGGCGAAGAGACTGGAGATGCTAGGTTTGAGGTGCGTCCCTCGTTCAAGATCCCCGCGGCAGTGTGGTGACGCTGATACACGCTTCTCGCAACAGCACGCCCCGCGGCCTTCCTCCCGCCGCACCTAGGCGCTCTCCCTCCGTCATCCCCGACTCCGTTGCTTCGACAACTTCTCCTGCTCTCTCCTCAGCCCCCTCAACCCGAACCTCAGCTTCACCCTCTCGCAGTCCAGCATCGCGCCTATCCTCCAAACCGCCTGCCAAGCTGTCTACCTCGACAAGAACACGCGAGACTCGAATCGAGGCGGAGACGGTCGTCGTACAGGAGACGCAAGAGGACGAAGAGGTCATCCTGGCTTGTACAGACGACGTAGAAGAGGAGGAAGCGCTCGCAACGGGCATTGGAAGCAAGTCTGGCTGGTGGAGCGAAGACGTGACCGAGACTGACGGCATATTGATATAGTGCGTGGTACTTCACACCCTCTTGCGCTCAGAGAATCGACTGACGATTGTGAATCGTAGCGAGCCGACACCGAGGAAACGACTTGTCAAGCTTCCCTCTTCCCGCGCCTCCCCTTCGCCGTTCCTCAAATCCGCCAAATCCCCTGCACACTCTTCAAGCTCGGCTCCCGCTTCGAAAGCGGTGCCCGGTGGACGCAAAGAGACCCGATATGGAACGGAACCGCCTGCGAAGGACGCGAAGGCTCGCGGTTCGAAGCTAAGGGTCGAAATCGACCTCACCGGCGAGAGTAGCGAGGAGGAGATCTTGGACATGGACAAGAAGGTCCGCGACGACGAAGTGCGTCCGGTGATGACTCTTCGTTCGACCAACGGTGAGGCTGACATGCACACAGTCCCTCCCGCCGCCTCCGACTCGCCGAAGGCCAACTTCACCTCCCTCCTCTGGTCCTGCACCTCCATCCAGCCCTCATACCCCTATCGCACGCCCCAAAGCCCCTCGACTTCCGTCACAGCCCCTTCCTCCTCGCACACCCTCGTCAACCTCCTCCGTTCCCCGCCTCACTCCCAAAGACCGCCAGGCTCTCCCGCTGCTACTCATTCGGGAGCTCGACAAGTCCGTCTTTCGCAAGCGTTGGGATGGGTTGAGGTGTCTGGATAAGAAGGGCGAGGGAGGAAGGGGGAAGGGCTTGCCGGAGGGCATCGAGGTTGTCTGGAGTAAAAGGCTATTGAAGACGGCCGGAAGGGCGACATGGAAAAGGTGCGCGAGGACTCGTCACGCTCAGCTGCGACCCTCAGGGCAGCAAGCTGATTGAACAGGTTGTTGAACTGCACAGGTCCCGCACGGCTACGATGCCCGGCTCGCCTGAAAAGACGACGACCCACCAAGCTCTCGTCGAACTCTCGGTCAAGGTCACCGATACCGAGGCCAAGCTCAAGCATACGCTCGCGCACGAGCTGTGTCACCTCGCGGCGTGGGCAATGGACGGCGAGATGAAGCCGCCGCACGGACCGGCCTTCAAGACCTGGTAAGCTGTACTCCTCATCTTCCCGCACACAGTAGCTGACGCTGTACTCTCTCGCAGGGCGAAGCGCGTCATGCTTGTCCGCCCCGACATGGAGGTCACGACAACGCACTCGTACGAAATCGTCTACAAATACCGCTGGCAATGCACTCGCGCGACCTGCGGCAAGATGTGCGTCTCTCTTTGCCACTATTCGGATGCGTGAACAATAACACATAAACTCTCACAGCTTCAGCCGCCACTCGAACTCGATTAACCCCTCCACGCACGGCTGTCCCTGCGGTTCCCGCATCGTCCCGATCGACAAGGATGGGAATGTCAAGTCTGGACACGGAGGTTTGCCGTCGTTTGGAGGAACAGGCGGACCGGCGACGCCCAAGACGGAGCGGAAGAAGAGCAAATGGGTCGAGTTCTTGCAGGTGAGTCGGGCGAGCCCTGTCTCCCACCACCAAGGGACTCGCCTTGGCTCTACTCGTGCGAAAAAGCCGTCGTTGACGCGACTCGCCGCCGCTCGCAGGCCCAGTCGCCCCTCATCCGCCGCGACAATCCGTCCCTCCCGCAATCTGAAGTGTTCAAGATCGCAGCCGAGCGCTGGAAGGTGGTCAAAGCAGCTTCTGCAACACCCTCGGTACCGGCAACGCCCAGCAAGAAGGCAGCAACGAGCGGTAGTGTCGCGCTTGAGCTGGACTCGGACGGGGAGAGCGAGGGAGACTTGGGAGACAAGCTCGGACGGCTCGAGCTGTAATGCACGCGTCGGATGTTGACCGGCTGGGTGTTCGCAGCAGAAGGGCAGCCACAAGTCCAGCGTCTAGGAGGAGTAGCTTGTCTGAGAAAGCCATCGCGCTGCCGGTCGTCGAACGCTCGAACAGCGTCGATGTCGCATGAACGACGGTCGAGCCAGTGATGCCTGTGGGTCAAGCACGTCAGCAACAAGGTCACGAGAGCGGTAGAAACGAAGCAGACGCACACATGGTAGTCGAGACGGGCAAGCCGTACTGCGACGCAAGGACGACGGTGATGGCACTGCCGAGCTCCATCGAGAAGCCGCGCGACGGCGAGTGGAGAGTAATCTTGTTGCCGAGAACGCGCATGATCTGCAAGAAGGAGGCGGAAGAGGGTCAAAAAAAAGTCAAAAAATCGCATTCTGGACTTCGCAGAACTCACGTTGTATCCGTAGGTCGCCAAACCAAGCACGAGGAAGTGTCCTGGTCGAGAAGCATGGGAACGTCAGATCTGGCCAAGGCGCTGCGCCGTCGGTCGGAGGAAAGGGTGGACCGGAGACGCCCAAGACGGAGCGGAAGAAGAGCAAATGGGTCGACTTTCTGCAGGTGCGTTGCGCTTCTCTCCGCCTAAAGCCTGTCGCTCGCCTCGAGGTCATTTTCACGACTGCGTTGACATCGCCCACCACCCTTGCAGGCCCAGTCACCCCTCCCGCGACAACCCTTCGCTCCCGCAGTCTGAGGTCTGCAGGGTCGCAGCCGAGCACTGGAAGGCGGTCAAAGCGGCTTCTGCAACAGTTTTGGTATCGTCAACGCCGAGCAACAAGTCAGGAAGGAGCGTTGGCGTCGCGCTTGACCTGGACTCGGAAGATAGCGAGGGCCTCGGGAGACAAGTTGGGACGCCTCGAGCTTTAGATCGACGGGTTGGATGTTGACCGGCTGAGAGAGCTGCCACAAGTTCAGCCTCAAGCGAGGAACAGCTTGCCTGAGAAGGCTCTCGCGCTGCTGGAGATCGAACGCTCGAACAGCTTCCATGTCGCATGAACGAGTGACCCAAACGAATGTAACTACATCATTATACGGACTAGGAGAGGACGCCAAGGACCGGAAGACGAATGGAACCAAGCTACTGCGAGGGGAAGTGAGGCGCGTTGAGGACGATGCCTGGTGTGGGAAGCGAGCGTCAGCAACGGCGAGGTGAGAAGGCGCTAGGGGTCGACGCACCCATCAAGCAGCCAGCAAGAGTGCCGACAACGGGGACGGTGATGACCCATCCCAAGAAGATCCAGCCGACCGCACGCCAGTTGACGGCGCGGAAGTCGCCGTTGCAGAGCGCGACGCCGACGGTCGAGCCAGTGATGCCTGTGGGTTAAGCACGTCAGCAACAAGGTCACGAGAGCGGTAGAGACGAAGCAGACTCACACATGGTGGTCGAGACGGGCAAGCCGTACTGCGACGCGAGGACGACGGTGATGGCGCTGCCGAGCTCCATCGAGAAGCCGCGCGACGGCGAGTGGAGCGTAATCTTGTTGCCGAGAACGCGCATGATCTGCAAGAAGGAGGCGGAAGAGGGTCAAGTCAAAAAATCGCATCCTGGACTTCGCAGAACTCACGTTGTAACCGTATGTCCCGAGACCAAGCACGAGGAAGCACGCGCCGGCCACGAGGATCCACACAGGCACATCCGTCTTCTTGCCACTGAGCGTTGCCGTCGACCAGGTGTGGTAGATAACCGCGAAGGGGCCGACAGCGTTGCCGAGGTCGTTCGCGCCGTGGGCGAACGAGTTGACGCAGGCGGTGAGGACCTGGACGAAGGAGTAGCACGCCTCGGTCTCGTTGGGGTACTGCTTGGCGCGCTCGTAGACCTGGGCCATGCGACGGTGCTCGGGAGTGCCGGCGAGACCGGCTTGCGCGCTGTTTCGCCCAACTCGTCAGCGAGGTATTCTCGACGAGTGTGCACATGAGAACGCACGCGTGGATGTCGTAGGTCGTGCCGTGCGTGAGGACCTTTTTGACGTACGGAACCGCCTTGTAGCGAAGGATGATCCAGAGGTTCTTCGGCTCCGCCCAAACGCCCTCAATCGGGTGCGGGTCCGCGCGCTCAACCTCCTTCTGGAGCGTCGACTCGTGCGTCCGGGGGACGGTCGTGTCCTCGCCCTCGATGATCTTGTCCTTGTCCTCGTACGACTCGCTGGGCGAGCCAGACTCGGCGTCCTGAACGGGCTGGCGGACGTTGCCGTGCGTCTCGCCCTCGCGGTCGGCGCGCATGCGGTAATCGGGAACGGACGAGAGGCGCTCCTCGGCGTCTGCGGGGGGCTTGCGGAACCAGAGAAGCGGGCCGAGGAAGAAGTGGTAGAAGCGGATGGCTGCGTGGCACGCGAGTGTCAGCGGTGCATCATGAGCTGTTGAAGGATCTGAGCGCACTGTAATCCTTCTTGGCGACGCGAGCGTGGACGTAGGGAACCCAGAAGAGGACGGCGAGGAGGGCAACAACCGCGGCAGTTCCGACGGTGGCAGCCGCGACACCGCTGCTCGAGAGCTCCTTGAGGCCGAGCGATGGAGCGCCCTTGTAGATGATCGAGAGCGTCATGACGGCCGCGCAAGTGAAGAAGACGACGGGTCCACTGCCGAGCGCCCAGGGGAAGGAGTTGCGGCGGGCGAGGACACCGAACTTGACGAGGAGGTAGACGACGGCACCGAAGCCACCGGCGATGGCGGGGGCGATACCGAAGCCGGCGAAGATGGTGGCGAGACCTGCGAGACCCGAACCGTCAGCTTTGACTTTGGCCATCCGCTAGTCGACCAAGACGCACCTTTTCCGCCATTCCAACCCCACTGCACCGAGTCTGCGCCGCCAAGCGCGACACCAACACCAGCAACCGCAGAGACCTGCGAGGTAAGAAGGCCAGCTTAGCCTTGCGATCTTCCTCCTCAACGTCTTCCGCGAGTACGCACAATCGAGTACGTAGTCGAGACGGGCCAGCCCATGCGAGTGCAGACCATCAACCAGCTGCCGGAGGCGACGATGGCGCAGGTGAAGGCGAGGAGCTGGATGCCTGGGTCGCCGCGGAAGGCGGCCGACTGGATGATGCCGCTTTTGATGGTGTCTGCGAGAGACGAAAATGTCAGCACAGGATGGCAGTCTGGAAATCCCGGCCGAAGACGAGGCTGCGAGAAGGAGGCGCAAACTAGGACTTACCGGCGGTGCGGGATCCAACCGAGACGGCGCCTGTTCAACGCCGTAGCGAGGTACATCAGCATCTTTGAGAGATAGGAAGGTACACGCTGGTTGAGGCGTCGAAGGGGAAACTCACCGACGAACTCCATGACCGCCGCTCCAAGGACTGCCTGCCTCATCGTAAGCGATTTACTCGCGACAGACGTCGCCCAGCTATTGGCAGCGTCGTTAGCGCCAATGTTGAAGGCGTCGAGGATAGCGAACAGCGTCTGTGATGAAGGAGAAGGAGGAATTCGAGGTCAGCGGCGCGAGCAGGGGGAGAACGGGCGCAGTGGACGTACGCCGATCGCAAAGAGGTAATCGTATTGGTGCATAGGCATCTTGACGACGGTTGGCTGCTGGCAGGAGCGACAGAGACGAGAGAGAGAGAGCAGCAAGGCGACGCGATCCTTTCAAGGCGACGCCAGCCGCACGAGCGAACATTTCGAAATGCGCGACGTTGGAACGTGCAGCGTTGAGCGCCGTCGAACACAGCATCCCGCGTGAGCCAAGACGACCTCGAGAGAGAAGCCAAGCTTGAGGACGATGCCAAGCTCGTCCGGTCCGGATACGGACAGCAAGACCCAAGCAAGACTGTCCTCACACGTTTGTCGGTTTGAGCGTGTGCCACTGCAACGCCTGCCAGCTCGGCAGCACTCGTGTGTCGAGTTGGGTCTGTCGGAGTCAAGATCGCGCGCTCAAGAGAATCCTTGGCGAGGACGAGAGTTGGTCGGAAGTGCGGAGTCCGGGTGGCCACGCTTTGGCGCTCGTGCGCTTGCTGAGCAGCTCGTGCGCGACATCAGCTCCACCAGTAACACATTTGCCCCGGACAGCACCCCTCCTCATGGCCAGCTCGACGTCTTTTCCCTTAGGTTGAGGCACGAAGGCCAAGGACGGCGAGTTCGGAAGTCAAAGCGAGGGAAGATCCCTCGTGCACGTTCGCCTGCCACCGCTGGACCCTTCGTAATCCCTCGCCGCTCTCATCGCGGCCCCTCAGCCCGTTGCCGTTTTGTTGGCCTCGTCGGATTCTTCGAGCTGATGAAGATTGGGCAGTGAGAATGCCGACACGCGCGGCGCTCGTCGAGACTGATGGCTCGTGAATAGCAGCTAGCAGTCGATCGCACTCCTCCAGCGAGGGATGGTTGCGGGACGAGGAGGAGATGGAGCGACTTCGAGGTTGGGTCTCTTCCTCAACCGCTCACCCACCCAGCTAATTTCCAGGGGTGCGCAAGCCCAACAGACGCTGCTATCAGAGCCTTCCGACGCGCCATGAGCGCCACACCGCTCTCGACGCTCCTCCCTACCCTCCTCCCCCACGAAGACCTCTCGCTCGCTCTCGAGATTCTAGCTTCGCACGGGGTTGTCCAGGGTGCGCCTCAGCTGCTCTGTAGAAGCTCCCAGCTGGCTCACACAAGGCGCCATCCCGCTGCACAGACGTCGACTTGCTCTTCCCCCCGCCTCTTCCGCCGCACGCCTCTCTTCCGCCCGAGACACTTGACCGGCTACGCTCCCTCGTCGCGACAAAACTCAGCGCAACCTCAACATCCGGCGCGTACCTGCTCCAGCAGTCCCGCGATCGCAAAGGCAAGCAACCTCAGCGGTTCTCCTCGACCCTCGACGACTTTGACGACGACCTCGACGGCGGCTTCGACGTTGGCGAAGTGATCGAGCTTACTGGTCCACGGCGGAGCGGCCGAACTGCTTTCGCGCTCTACGTCCTGCTGTTCCACCTCCTCATTCACCGCGAGAGACGCGCGGCATGGCTCGACACGACCTCGACTTTCGACCCGTATCGCTGTCTCGCCATCCTGCGGGACCACCTCATTCCGCGCCTCCGAGCGATGGGCGGCTCGTTCGCGAGCGAAGACGGGGTCGAGCCAGAACCGGAGAAACTGGCGATTGAGGTACTGGATCGTCTCGCGGTCTCGCAGGTGTCCAAGTCCGGCGCGGCGCTGGACATCTTGACGGCGGAAGCGAGGGCGCAGGGGAAGCCGCAGACGCTGGATATGGTGGTTATCGACACGCTTGACGTGCTTGTTGGCGGAGAAGCGGTAGCGAGCGGGTCTGCGCAAGGTGCGTTGCACGAATCCAACCTCGCAGAACCAGTCTCACAGGACTCTGTGCAGGGAATGCCAACCTCATCGCCTTCATGCGCCGCCTGCACGGCATCGCCCGCTCATCTAGCAACCCACTCGCGGTCTTCGTGCGTCGTTTCACACGACTGCTCGCATACCGACTGACCGCCCTTCGTGCAGGTCATCACCACCCTCTCTTCTCCTCCCCCCACCCACGCCGCATCATCCCGCAAACCCGCCCCTCCCGAGCACCCTCACCAATCCGGCCAACCACCGCCTCTCTCCTCACTCCCGCTTCCAAACCCGCTCAAACCAGCCCTCTCCCCGACATTCAGCTACCTCGTCGACCTATCCTTGCTTTTCATTCCTGCTGAACCGCTTTTCGGAGGGAGGGAGGGGAAGGAACGCGGGTTTGTCGAGGTGGTCAAGAATCGGCGGGCACAGGCGGGAGGGATGATCGGGTTTAGGCTGGTGAATTGCGCAAGCGATTCCATCCTCTCGCTTTGTCAGGTGCTGACTGGATTGTTGCGCAGGAGAACGGTGTCCGGTTCGAACAACTCGAGTAGCTTCTTCCCTCGCAATCGCAACTCTCGCATTCGCATCTCTCGCATTTTCCTCCTCTCGCCTCAACTTCAGGGCGGAAGGCAGGCAGAGGTATCATATCCAACAGGGTAACTACACTAGAGACAGACGAAAGCTATCCGACCTCAAGCGAGCAAGAGAAAGCCATTCGCGGCATCCTTTTTGACCCGCACCCGCACAACGAAGCAAGCGAGCCAACCAAGCAAGCGACCAAGCGACCTCCCCTCCCCTCCGTTCTCCGACTAATCCTCATCGTCCTCGCTGTCCACCTCCGCCGCACTCTTGACCTTCGCACCGGAGGTCCTCCCGACCGAAGGCGAGAATGACTTCTTCGCTGCGGTGGTCGAGGAAACGTCGGAGGTGGCTTCGTCGTCGGAGGCGGGAGGGACGAGATGGGCGTGTTCTTCCGGGTCGAAGGGGTAGAGATGCGGTCTGTGAAGAGGGCGAGTCAGCACGACGTGAAAACGGCAGAAGAGCAGGAGGAGACGAACCCGATATGCTTGGCCATGGTGAACGAGCTGTTCGGTACACGAGAGTCAGCCAGCGCGAGCGGAAAGGCGAAGGATGCGAGAGGACATACTTGATGCGCGAGAACGGGAGCACTTTCTGCAAACGGAAATCAGTGTCAATCGGCGTATGGCTTTGCTGTGACACATCCGACTGAACGCAGACAACTAAGCGGCGCACCTTCAGCGTCTCGTCCGGCAAGATGTCGGTCTTCCTGTTCGGATCTTGCAGCTCGTGCGCCTTGATGTACCTCCAGAGGTACTGTGCGTACGAATGCGAGAAACTGCATCAGTCTCGCGCACAGCATGGACACAGAGAACGATCGCTGCAAACAGGACGCACCTTCGTAACTCCCGGCCTGCTCGCAACGGGCCTCCCGCAAACCGCCGCCATCTCGTCACTCAAGACATGCAATTTGTTGAACCCAGTATGGCTCGTCTTCCGCTTCTTCTTCTTCTTCCCGCCGTCATCCTCGTCGCCCGAATCGTCCGACACCTGAGCCTTCGACTTCTTCTTCCCTCCACGACGAGCAGTAGTCGTTCCTCCGTTCCGCGTCGTGCGTCCTCCACCCATCGCGGCATACTCGGCTTGGAGCTTGCGAGCATACGCCTCGTCGTCGTCTTCTTCGATCTTGGCGGGGCGCGGGGCGGTCGTCGTTGCGAGCGGGAAGGCGGGGGAAGACGTAGGTTCAATGAGCGAGTTCGAGGGAGAGCGGGAGCGCTTGATCTTGTGGAAAGAGGGGAGTTTCGGTTTGGGAGAAGCGGCGGGAGAGGCGGGTTCTGGCTCGTCCTGCGGGAGCGCCGGGTGTTAGCGATTCCTTGCTCGAAACCAGCACTATCTTCTTCACATGGACTCAAGCGCTTCCAGCTGGAATCGCAGACTCACCTCCTCCTCAGCCTCCCCACCTCCCGTAAAGACCTCGGTCGTGAGCGCGTCAATCTCCGCCTTGTGGCTCTTGACATCCAGGTCGGGGTACTTCTCCTGTTGGAACGGAACAAGCGCATTACCGGCTCACTCAGTGCTCTTACGCCCTCAGCAGTAGCCTGACAACCGCTAGGAGGAGGACAAGCGAGGCGAGGACCAGCCAACGCACCTGGAGAGCCCGCCGGACCGCCTTTGCCGAGATACTGGCCCTGTCTGCGCCCGACAAGATGTTCTCCTGCGCGTTTCCGAGCGAGTTGACACAGTGAGCGGCCGAGATGAGCAGGCGGGGGAGGATGACAGTGTCAGCGCTTTGGGCGGCGAGAAGCGAGTCGTGAGCGGACGCACGATGTCTGGACGCAGACTCTGCACGTTGAACATGGCCATCCTGAGCGAGAGAAGCGGTTCAAGCGGTTCTGTTCAAGCCAGACCCTCCTCGCCGCGTCCTTCGACCTTGACCGACTCCTCGGGTGCCGCTAGAAGGGCTGAGAAGGCTTGGAAGGTGTCACGCGTGCAGAGGAAACAGCGCCGCAACGCTTCGTCCGACTCTCCACGCTCCAGCCAGACTTGCTCGCTTTCTCCCCTCTCGACGACTCGACCCAAAACAACGCTGAACGGGCAGAGGTCATTGCTAGAGATGCTACAACTGTTGAGATACGTCTAACGTCTTGCTAGGTACCGCATTACGCGACGAGGGTTCCTGCCCCCGCCGTCTTGTCTATCCGCGAACTCGCTCCGTCTCCCGCTCAGTAAGTCACCAGCCTCAGCTCGCCTTCCTCCTCCTCTCCCTCACCCAGCGTCTCGACGTGCCTGTCGCCGACAACCAGGTCAAACCGCCCAACAACCTGCTCCGTCGAGTCCACGTCGTCCCGACTCCTCCTCTTCCCGCTTCGACTAGGCGAGCCCGGCGTCCGCAGCGCCTTGCGCTCGAGAACGACGACCGGCCATGCTCCTGCGTCGCCTCGCCGCGCCAGGCCGTGCATCTCGATCGACGAGCCGTCGAAGCGGACCCACTCCGGAAGAGGTGCCAGACCGTCTTCCGTCTCTTCGTTCGCGAAGAGTTGCGCCTGGTCCGCGTCGAGCGAGGAGACGTCAATCCAGGCGGAGCAGGTTGCGCGAGGGGGTCCTCCGCGGCCGGGCGAGGAGGTGATGCTGGCAAAGGGAGGCGGATCGAGGCGAGGAACGAAGCGGAAGGGCTCGTTGACGTAGAGCTGGACGCGCAGCGGTTCAAGGTACGACGATGCGCGCTTGTGCGAGACGGACGAGCGCGGTCGGGATGTCGCCTCGGTCGACTGGCGCGAAGTCGAGGAGAAGACGTCGGAGCGAGGCGTGCCGGTCAAGTCGTGCGAGTAGTGCGATCCGCTGCCGCGCGCAGAAGGAGAAGGCATGTACGGCGAAGCGACGGTCGACACGACCGACCCTACATAGCGCATTCCGCCGCCGCTCAACCGCTGGCCATTGACGTCCGTGTCGAATGACGTGCGGGACCGGTACGAGTACGCCGAGCCAGACGGATAGCGCATCGTGTCGCGCTGGTGTGAAGGCGGAGACTGCGAAGCGCGCGGGTAAAAGACGACCGAAGTCGTCGGCGAGCCTTCCCAGTCTGGCGGAGCGTAGACGCCGCTCTTCGGCCTGCCCTCCTCGTCTTCCTCCCACGCGTCCTCGACTGCATCGTCGTCATAGTGCACGTCTTCGGCAGAGGTCGGCTCTGACGGTCGTCGCGCGGCGAGAGAAGCCTGCGAGGTGAAAGTGCGGCTGAAGGGAGGCGGTCGTCGTTCGCTGGTGAACGGCACGAGTCGAGGAGGAGGTCGCTGGAGCGACTCGACCGAAGGCGAGTCGGAGGGATAGCTGCCCGACCTCGACGGCGACGAGAACTGCTGGAAGTGCCGCGACTCGTCGTAGACGACACTCTCCTCCAGCAACATCTCGCTCCGCTCGACCGAGTCGTCCATCCGCCCTTCTCCGCTCGACGAGTCGGAATGCGACGCGACCATCCGGATCCCGCCAGCAGGGTCCGAGACGTCCGCTCCATCGTACGCTGATTCCTCCGTTTCGCCGCTGACCTCCCGCTCGAGTCCTCCGGCTGCCCGGTCCAGCGATCCTGACGAGTGCGTCACGTCGTAGGTATCCCTTGTCGGGCTCAGCGCGGGTGAAGAACCGGGCGAGGTGGTCGGGCTCTTGAGCGGAAGAGGGAGGAAGTCGCGTCGGCGCTGAGGGATCGAAGCCGGAGTTGCGCCGACCCGTCTTGACGAAGACAGCGACGCGAGGGACGCCGGCGAGCCAAACGACCCGCTGCGACTTGTCGTCCGTCGATGAGGTCCTGTCGAGCCAGTGACAGATCCCGACCTCGAGCCGGAGGACGAGTAGAACAAGCTCGAGCTGGCCCCGCTCTCCCAGCTCGAGACGCGTCCGCTCGCTCCAATTGCCCGCCCGGCCGAATTCGTCGGCGTGCCCGTCCGCGCCGACCCGCCGCTATTCTCGCGGTACGTCGAACGGCGGTTGTCGCCCGCCTTTCCGCCCTCAGAGACGACCACGATCCTTCGCGCCTCGTCTGCCTCCGCCTCGTCGATCCCCAGCCCGTACAACGACGTCTCCTGCGGCAGACTCCGCTGCGACATGTCCCGCTCCTTCGCCTTGCCCTTTCCTTTTCCCGTCACGCCCGCCCGAATCGAATCGAGGATACTCCCTCCCGATTCGGATCGGAACAACATGCCCATCACGTCGAATCGTCTCGGCTGCGGTGGCGGAGGCTGCTGGAGGAACGAAGGGAGGCCGGGAGTTGCAGTCGAGGTCGAGGCTGTCGCAGCGGGCGAGGCGGCGTGTTGGTCGACTTGGGCGTGGTGGACGACCGTGATGGGCAACGCCATCGACTCTCCCTTCGTCTCGTCGAGATCCTTCTCGACCCACTCCTTCTCCCCCATCTGCGGCGAAGGCGTGACGACCGTCACTGTACTCGCGCCGCCAAAGACCGAAGCCGAAGCAGGCGTAAGCGGCCTAGGATGGCTGATGACCAGTCCTCCGCTGCTCCGCCTCTTCGTCGGTCCTGCTCCCGCTCCGCCTGCTCGTTGGTCGCGGTGTCGGCGGTAGTACCACAGTGCGAGGAGGACGAGGGCGATGAGGAGCGGGATACCCAATCCGAGACCGAGACCGAGACCTAGCTTCGCGTCGTGCGAGAGACCGTGGCCGCCCGACCCGCCTGTAGGAGCAGTCGTGTTCCCCTGCCCTTCGACAATCTGGACGATGAACGTCGCGCGGCTGATTGCGCCTGTCGAGGGTGCGGTCGCGTCGACGACGACCGAGGCGTTCGAGATGGCGTCTGACGAGTTGAGCGAGGGCGCCGTGCCGGTGAGGGCGAAGGACGAGGGGTCAAACGACAGCCATGAAGCCGCAGCCGAGAGGGAGATCGTGGCAGTCAAGTTGGCGCCGGTCAAGGCGGACGGGAGTGCTCGACGTCGACTGGACGAGGCGGATGGCGAGAGGTAAGGCGTCAGATCCTGCGCGAACTTCTTGCCGCTCTGGACGTCGATCGTCGCTGGCAAAGCCGAGACGTTGAACAGCGAAGGCGAGACGACGAGTGCGACGGTCGTTGCGAGCGAGTCGTTGTACTGGTCGACAAAGGTGAGCGGGATGGAGAGGGGTGTTCCGCCTGTCGCAAATGTCGCTGGTACGTTGCCCGTAATGGCGAGCGTCGCCGCGTCGAAAGTGAGGTCGGAAGAGAGGTTCGCCGGCGCAAAGTTGGCCGAGACGCTCGAGAGGTTGGCGCGCGAGATGGTCGAGTTGTCAATGCGGAAGCCGTCGAGGGGGACGACGTAGTTGACGGGTCCTCCAGGCGTGACATTGACGCTCGGCAGCGGTCCGAACGCCGAATGATTCGCCAGCAACGCCGCTGATCCGAGCAACTCGAACGAGTGGTCGACGACCTCAATCCTAAACGTCTGCGCGACATCGCCGTACCCGAACCTTGAGCTGGCAAAGACGACAAACTCAAAGTCGCCCTTGTTGTATGGGGCGAGTCCGTAGAACGTGACGGTCGAGTTGTCGAATTGGATCCAGCTCGGGAGTGTCGTTGTACCTCGCTCGTACGCCGAGTAGTACATCTTCTCCATCGCGCTGTTTTCGGCCGTGTATTGCTGGAAACCGAAGGAGAAGCTCCACTGCGGAGGAACCTTGAGCGCTCCGTCAGGCGTCAGGCTTCCTCCGCCCGAGACGGCCGCTGCCGAGGCGAGTTGCTCGGAGAGAGGGAGGCGGATGTACGGCGCAGGATCGTTCGCTGGGTCGTCGACGAGCAGCGTGAACGAGTCGCTGCCGCTGCCGGATCCTGACGCAGGTTTGGCGACGACCGTCACCTGCGTCGACCCCAGAGCCGACTGACTCGCTGGCGGCGTGCCGGAGAACGTCCCGCTCGCAGCGTCAAACGTCGCCCATGAAGGTAGCGTTGTCAAGAGCGAGAGGCTGGACGAGCCGGAGAAGGTGCCGGGGAGGATGGTGAAGGTCCAGGGTGCTCCGAGGCGCGCGACGGGCGGTCGTTGTGCTTGGAGAGGGTACACAAGCGAGGGCGCGGCGAGGGCGACGGTCGCCAGGATGCAGACTAGGAGGGCGTGCAGGATGTGCATGTCGAGGATAGGGAACGGAAGGGAGCGTCGAAAAGGAGTGTATCGAAGAGCGGATGGCTCAAGTGGGTTCGTTCGGCCTTGTGCGCGTGTCGTCTGCTCTGTACATCGGCTCTGGTCAGCTCCTCGTGTCCCACGCCCGCTGGAACGCCCTCCGAACGCACCGTCTCGTCCTCCTCACTTTCCCGCGAGAACCCAGTCCCTCAGCTCTTCAGCAAGTCCTTCGCGCGTCCGCCTGATCCCTCAAGAACGCCCAACGAGCCTCTGTGCGCCGTTCAAAGCGCTCATCAGCTCGTGCGAGGGCGTGTGAGAGTCCCGTCACGAAACTCACCTTGGACGCGTCGGAACGAGGCGGTGAAGAGTACGGAGAGGGCGCTGGCGAGCGGGCGGGGCGGGCGCGCTGGTGGGCTCAGCGAATGAGCAGTCTGGCCTGTCTAGCACTTGAGCGAGCGAGAGCGTGTG